TACATTTGTGTGTGGGTGTAGTTAGCAAAATCCCCTGAAAGTAGTGTGACTAGTGAGGTTTCCCCTATTATGTATAATATAATGTCCCCTATTTAAACCTCCCCAGTTGACTGGTATGGTCAAAAGACACTCCGACTAGCTTCCTGGTGAACATTTTGTCTTACACTAATTCAAAAGTACAGTCAGAGACATTCCCAGTTCACTAGTGAACATTTTGGCTTGCAATAGTATAACTATTGGAGGGAACTGTTGTCTGCAGGATATTTAATAAATAGTCAAATAGCCTTCCATAGAAATGCGTCATTTCAAGATATGTACTATCTGTCATGATTCAAAATGCACAATCTCCATTTGTCTGTGTCATGTGTTAGTTTGTGTTATCCAAGCTGTGCCTCACCTGCCCACCAGGCCCCTGTGGGGAGCTTCCTGCTTCTCTGCACCTGCGTCCCATCAGCTGATTACCCCTGTGACCCGCTTGTCAGTGTCACTGTCACTGTCTCATATGGTACCTGACTATATACAGCCGCCTCTCTCCAGAGGGACTTAGCATTGAAAATGCATGTTGACTAAGTTATAATTTTCTGCTGATTTCCCTGAGCTATGTTTATCTTATACGGTCCACCTTAGAAAATGTTCCATCACAATGTCAAAGTTTCGAGTCCCTCTTGAGGTCCGCCTTAATGATATATTTACAACCAGGTGTAAAGCTAGACATGTCTTCTAATGAGTTCAACTACTAAAAGATCGAGGATGTATAGTATACTGTAACCAGTAAGCTGACGTATTTAATAGGATCATGATGCACCTCTTTTTCCAGATTTGGATTTCAATATGTTTCAATATTGAAATAATTGCCTATTTGTTGATTTCTGTAACATTTGCAGAAACATTAAATTAAAGACACTTTGTGAAATGTAGTATTTTCTCCAAGACTTGTAAACTGCATACTACCAAGATGTTTTCATACCAAGGGTATTAAAATGTAACATTTGTAGTTCTTGAATACTGTTGGAGCAGTGCGGATGATGAACGTATGGCCTACATCCTAACATGGGAAACATCTGTTGGCTATATTGTGAATATGTCTCAGTGTATTCCTAAGTGTATTTTTTTCCCTCTTACAGTCTTTCCTTCTTATCCCCTCCCCCCACAAACTAACACCCTACATTACTCTGTTCTTCATATACACAGCGCAATCTTTCCCACTGTCTCTCACACACACATACCAAAATATCTTGAATTGGCTATGCCTCTGTGCCTTTTGTTTTTTGAGACCCGTTGTTCAAACCCTGAAGGCCTCTTTTTAGCCAACGAGGGAAGTAGAGGCAGAGAAAGAGCAATTGAGATGAGACAAAATTCCAACCCATCCTCCTCTTCTTCTCTACACAGCTCCTAGACGAACCACAGTTTGTTTAAATCAAAGAATGCTGAGAGGCTTGGGCAGCAGATGTGAGATTTTGTGGAAAATAGCAAGTAATGAATCTCTTGAAGACTCGAGTCACATATGTACTGTTATCGTCTGCCTGTGGCTGATGGATCCATTTGTCAAAGCAGTGCTTCCTATTCTTCCGCTTATGTCTGCACTTAAAAAGACCATTTGGAAAAACATTTCAATGCCTTTCACTATTGTGAGCCGGTATTCGTCACATTTAGAGGCTGTTCATCTTTCTATACTAAAATGATTAATACTCACACATTCTCTGATTAACTACCAAATACAATTGTTGATGATCCACTCTGTGTTGAACATATTGAAACCAGAGTGAACATCTTTGATATCTCAATGTCCAGGATTTACTCAGTGTGAAACACATGTTAAGAGATCATTTACACCAAAGCACCAAAGCCCTGTAACAAATTAATTGATTTCTGCAGCAGCAAAGGCAAGTTTTTTGTATTGAGATTATCTGCTCAAAACAGCAAAGCCAGACAGAAACGCCTACCATTTCGGTGACAACAGAAAGCATGAAAAAAACAACAAGACCCATACAAAAAAATACATGTCATTACAGTTGGTCATCCCCCATAGGAATTCAATCGGAATTTATAATGATAAGCCAAAGGAACTGTCCCATTTTCATTCATAAAGACACATATAACAAATGAAAAAGAGGTCACCAAAGTATATTTAAATGTTGTGTGTAAGTGTTGTGTTAAGTAAAATGTAAACTCCGAGCTGTATAAATATATTTTTATTTTACAATGTTAGTTTTTCGGTTTCTGTACAACACTGAACTCAACCAAATGTTGGTGGAGGTAAAACAACTGAATTTTTACAAAAAAAGATTTTTGGGTGTTACTACATAACAAACTGCATGCTTTGTCATGTGCATCACATATTTGTGTACACACTTGAGTCTTTGAGCAGAGGGTCTTTCATCTCCCAGAACAGTTGGTCTGTTTTGAGTCCTGATACTGGCTGATATCACTGCAGCCTTTGGCAAACTGAACAATCAGATTCTGCTCTTTGTGCGAGCAGAAATGGGTATCAATGGTTTCACTTCTCTATCATCGCTGCTTCTGACAAGTGAGAATGAAACACTGTTGGCAGCCTCATACACTGGTGTCCCACATAGTTCAGTGGAGGAACCCCCCTTCTCTCCCCATACACATAATCTCTTGCTGATGTAATCATGTCTCATGGTTTTCCCTCCAAATGTGGATGTCACTCAGTCTATGTTTCTCTCCCTCTGAAACGTATTAAAAATGTCTGCATGTCTGCATGACTACTTCGATGATGGCTATGCAATTTTTGTTTATTTCAGCCAGGACTGAGTCACTTCTCATCCCAAGAGAGAAGGAAGTCACGGTCTCCTAAATGTAAGGATGGTTGCATTTATTGGCTGTAGATTGGAAATAAACTATTGTAACTCCAGAATGAATGATTTTGTGTCTGATAGAAATTCATAAAGGAAATTCTCAATTCTCCTATAGCTCATTAGGATCACCATACTCATCCCAATTAACCAGAGCGAGGAGAAGTGGCAGACAACACTAAGCTGGTTAAGAGCTCATCTAAATCCAGTCTATGCAGTACCATTGTTCATATGGACCTTATTTCACCTTAAGGGCACTGCCCTAATGAAGTTGATCTGTTGTGCCATCAGCTGGTAATCATGAAGAGAAGGGGAGAGTTATTGATTATAGAAAAAAATTAGGGACGTGCGAAGCAGGGAAAGAAGACAGAAAGGAGGGTCAAGGGAAAATAATATTACAATAAAAATCATGAGGAGCTTGAGTAGAAAAATCTGGGGCAAAATTGGCATGGAGGAGAGAGGAAGACAGAATGAGAGATAAAGAGAAGAAATTGGGCGAAGAGTGCTTTCTGTCTTATACAGTTGCTATTGACAACAAGAAAGCCGACACTGCTGTGTGAAGATTTTTTTAATGGAAAAACACAAACAATTACTGCCATCCTAACCAACATCACCTTCTTGTCTCTCCACTCACAACATTCCCACCTCCATAACTATTCATAGAGAACATGGATTTTAGCATGCTTAACACATGCATGCTCTTTTGTGCAAAGTTAAAGTCTTTTTAGTTGCCAGCTATAGGCTCTCATTATTACAAGGTAGGAGTGCACAATAAGCCATCTGTAAGACAGCAGAGCACGAGATAAATGCACAGCTCATTAGAAGAAGTGTTTATCTTTGATGGGAGATGACTGCTGGGCTTTTTGTTGGTGGAACAAGCAAGAAAATCACCAACAAAGCATTCCAATTTCATATTTCTTATCCCCTCTCCCCTTTCATTTAGTATCTGTATTTATTTCCCCATTTTAATTATACAATGTGGGACGTTCTAAAGCTCTAATATTATAATAAAAAGTATCTACAGGATGTTCTGTACCCTCTTGGCATCCTCTTTCTTCCAGTAACCTCTTTCTATACATCAAAGAACCATTTCATACTTTACAAAAGATTATATCTCAGTGGATAATAAAGCCTACAGTCTTTATGGTGCTTGTCTCAGACTGCATCGATTCACTTATGGCGTGTTGTTTGCTCAAGTTATTACTTGTTCCACTCAAATGAAATGGTATGCACCCTGAATATAGAGTATATGTCTTAATCACTGGGCTTGTCAATCACTAAAATGAACTCTGGATTGGTGAAATTGACTGTGTGTCTTTTATGACTTAAAAATCGGTTGAGTAGATGCAGAACAGGAGTGATGCCACCAAACTCTGAAATATTGACATGAATTGTCCCATGAGAAATATATGGGGATGTTAATTGTAATGCTGCTTCAGGCAATCCAGAAACGATTAGAAACAATACAAGAAATCACAGCCAGCCAGGTTTGCTGGCCTCTGTCTCTCTCTCCATCTGTCTCTCTCTCTCCATCTGTCTCTCTCTCTGTCTCTCCCTCTGTCTCTCTCTATGTCTCTCTCGCTCTCATTATAATTAGTTCAAGGTATGGCAAGACAAATCATGGATGTCAGTGCAAATGAACCCATAGCTGCGGTTGTCTTGGCAGGACCACGATGTGAAGAGCTTACTGAAAAAAGTATTTGACAGCCATTCACTGGTTTTAATAATGTGGTTACTTTCAGTCCATTAACTTGCATAATAAATGTTATATGTGCGGCTTTTGAGTGATATCTCTCTTATTCCGCAAAGTTTTTAAAATTATTAAACGAGCGAAAAAAAATCATGTCATCTCCTGATTGGCCACGTGCAGGCACGTAAAACCACACCAGGTCCGTCATCCAGCGGAGAAGTGATGGGCTTTGCTACAGGTAGTGGCTCTCTCAAATCCAGCTATTTCTCCCTATAGTAAAACAACTTTTTCATAGCCTTAACTGTTTGAAGGCGTAAAGTCATTAGAAGACAACGGACCGCGTGCTGCAAAGGTTCACTGAAAGAGAGTCCGTCTCTGTGACGCGCGCGCACATTTCAGCACTCTTGGCAGCGCGCGCCGCCGCAGTGGCAATGTGTGGATTCAACCGGTGTCTTTTAACCAGAGCAGTACTGTGTGAGGAGGGGACAGTTTGATTCACACCAAAACTATTTTTGCTCCTCATGTAGGAAACGCTTTCTGATTTTTGGACCACTTGGACTAGTGTTTTTTTAATTCTCTCTAATACAGAGCGTCTCCGTGGACTCCATCGTGCAGGTAGGCGTGCCGTTGGATGCGTGGTTGACTCCAGAAGCTGTGCTGAGGAGCGTGGAATAGTCAGGCGGGAGTATAGTGGTGGTGGTGCTCAAGAGACCCTCCATTTATAAGGATGCTGGTGGGAAATGCCTGGAGACAGAGATGACGAGATTTGTCAAAAGGCACTTGAACTCCTGTCCGATCTTTGCTCGAAGGGGGAAGTGCAGAACGATTACTGCTTGGATTTTATCTACTATTTCCGAGACCTCGCCAGGCCACGCTATTCGGATTCAGGTGAGGCATCATTTGCACGCTTCATTCAATGGTTGCATTCAATTGTAGTGAATTGAACAAACGTGACTTTCTTCATTATACACTGTGCACAAAGCTATTGGTAAGAGGACTTTCACAACCAATACTCAGTGTTTGGAGATGCGATATGAGACATCTTTCATATTTGACACATGTGTACAATGCCGGCAGTGAGAGGCTTTCTTGTAGTCACAGAATGATCACTGCATAGACGGTAGGCTATATCCTCCTCCCCGGAGTTGCGCGTGAACCTGCGCTCGCCAGTAGAGTGGCATTTGCCATATCGTACTTCTTTGAAGTTTACCACATATTACAATTGTAGTCTTACAATGAGCATATGGCAATGTGAAACCTAAACTGTATGAATGCAATGGACTCATAATATATCTTTATATCAGATAATGACTTCGATTTTGGAAACCCAATCCATAATAGTCTCATATGAAGAATTAACGTGACCACCGAGTCACATTTCATCGTTACCAACACATAGGCTAACAATCATCATCATCGGAATGGCATGCCTGCATGTGCGATCGTGTCAGCGTGAGTGTGTGTGTGTGTGTGTGTGTGTGTGTGTGTGTGTGTGTGCGTGTGTGTGTGTTGGAACATATTGATGAGATAATGTGAAGGAGCGTGAAAGCTGTAACTGCTACCCCTTACCTACCCCATCCATTAAGCTTCCATTAGTTTGAATTATCATTAATAATTCTTCCCCACATGAAAGCCCTTTGTAAATCCTTTGTACTTGATACACATAGTGTTCAGATCAACATATATATATATCTTTCCTTTTTTCAAAAGGTGATCAAAACTATTGTCTAGGTTTTAAATATGGTTATAATATGCTACTGTATTATAAGGAGTTGGATTAGAAGATCAATATGACTCTCATATCTTTACGTCCATTAAAAACGAAGCTGGAGCCAGTTGCCGCAAAGCTTAGCTAAGCTTACAGACTGGAACCCATGAAAAAAATTACAAGTTTGGGTTTTACAGTTTTTTTGTAAGGATTATTTCTTGGCCAAACTTCCTGGAATCTCTGCCGGTTGCCTGGCAACCTCACAGTGATGACAAGACTCCATAAAGTATCTGTTACTTGCCAATATTTAGACTGTGTTCATGTCACATCAGAGTTACCGCAATTTCCATTTTCTGAGTTATAAATGGTTTTCATGTTCACACAACAGGGAGATTTAGATTTTTCTGAAAGCTCCAATATTTCCTGACAAACATTGGCGCCTCATGACAGTAAAAGGCTGTTGATCAAGATAATTAAACCCAAAAGAATATGTAATATTGTCAGTGGGCATCTTGCTGTCCTCTATATGATGAAAGCCCAGCACACAACCTTAGTTAAACCACAACTTGCATTTTTTTAACTTTAAACTTTGGTTTACACAAATGAGATGTAATGTGTCATTTAAAGAGTTAAAGATCTGCTCAGGTTGACTTTTCTTACCATCGGACAGAGCCAAGTTAGCTGTTTCCCTCTTCTAGTCTTTAGGCTAAGCTTATATAAGCTGGCTATTCGTACAGACATAAGGGGGGTATAGTTTTATTTAAGACTTGTCAAGAAAGCAATTGTGCACAACATTAAGCAATGGCTGCTGGAGCAGGTTCCACAGCATTGCTACTTTTAATTGTATTCAACTAATTAGTTAGAGATATAAAATCAGGTCAATATAGTTAACATTCTGTGAGGCTAGAAACCAGCAGTTGTCAGGGCCTTTAAGACAACCAATTAGAACCACTCACATGTGCAGTATACTATGTTTCACATACCCTTTTCACCCACAGAGAGGTATGTTGAAGGCATAGCAACTCAGGAGGTAAAGGTTCATATACTGCTTTTTCAGCACTTGCTCTCCTCCTACACGATTGCACCTTATAGTCCCATGCTCTAAAATTGGTCCACCCCATTTGTTCCAAGGCAGTTTCTGAATTCTTCCAGATGTCTACAGATTCTGCACCAGGCAGCAATGCGGGCGGCCTGCCAAGCTGACTGTGGGCTCACTGTCCTCGGATTGCAAGTCCCTCATTTTCTCCACATTAGTCTACCAAATCACACATACTCTGGTATTCACAGAATCTCAGAGCACAGAAAGTACAGTTCGCCCGAGATCCCGTGGGAGGTTTTATGACAGCACCCACACACACAGATCCATCCTGTATTAGGCTGTGCTGTTGGAGTTTGAAGAAAGGTAATGCACAACTAGTACTGTCAAAGGCTTTTGAGATTGGTTGTCATTTAAATCATACTTCTTTAAATGTGGTGTGACATATTGCCTTGTTTACTTTGAACTAATGTGCAATTTATGTTTTACTGCATTCCTTAGCATTATGTTTAATATTAGGTGTTAGCTCTACATCAGATGTTTAGCACAGCTTGCCATACGTGATTCAGTTTCAAGATGTTCTGTGATTTTGGTTACTCTTTTAAAAACACATGTTTTTCTCACTTCTGTTGCTCTGTAAGAAGAAAATTGGATTTATTAGAAATGTCTTAATACTCAACTGCATAATTCAAACCTCAATACAGATGATTTTCTATTGAAATAGAGAGCAGAACTATGATAGGAAACAAAGAGAAAAAGTCAATGTCTGTAGAAACCTTTTCACAAATTGCTTTGTCCAAGCTCTTCATCAAGTCAGCTAGTTAAAAAACATATGCATGGCAAGTTTGTCGGCTAATATGAAAAATATGTCAACATGAAATCTCTATTCTGGTATATGATAAGAGCACTGCTTTGTTTGATATTATCATAATGTTTGTTATCATCATATAAGCATGCATTTCTTTTGAAATTGAGTTGTTTGCCTAATAAAGCAACAAGCTGTGCTTAACAATTTTGTCTAGCCACCCAGGAAAAGCATTTATTAGTGTCTCTAAATTGAAATGTAATAATCTAAACACTTAAAAATAAAAATCTTCATCAACATCAGCATTACCAAAACATTAGTTTGTTTTTGCTGAAGGCAACTGTTGCACTGTCAGCACATAAACTGGACGTAAGTCTGTATCGCTGCCCTCGCACAGATCGAGGCTTAGACAATAATAGACATGGTTGATACAGCAGACTTGATGCTATTTTAAACATAGCACACTGAGCAGAAGCCATGTAGACAGTTCAATACAGTACATTAGAGTAAACATTACAGTGGCTAAGCAGGGATGTAAGATCATCATCTCAGTACCAGACACAGAGACGTGTAGTATAAACACATTTTCTGAAAATGTCTTGAATTAATTACACATACACTACAGCACTAACGTGATAAATGAGGTTATTCGGTGCAATGCAATCAATGAATTCACCATTGCTGGATGGGCTTAGGATAGGAAGGTGAATAGGATGTACCATCACCTACAGTATAATGTTTTTCCTCAACTAATTTATCCAGCAACAGTTCAATTCTGCACATAATATTCAGTATTGGTTAGCATCATAGGAAAATATATCAATAAGTAACACAAGCAACAACATATTTTTTTTTTACTTTTAACAATCACATGAAACTACTTCAAAATGTAACAGTGATGCCTTACTTAGCAATGCACACCCCGAACTTTGGTCAAAAATGATAAAGAGAACATTAAAAAACGATGAACATCTACTATAACCTGTAGTTGATGGTATTGACTATGAATTGGAATGCTGATGTGAGGCTATTAAAGTCAACGTTAGAAATACATCTGATTTAAGAAAATGTTAAGGGGAATTGTATTAGGACATGTGTATTTTACAACTGTACTCACATGCCCAGTGGGTTAATTAAGCTTTCTAGAACTCTGAATAGGATACTAGGTATTATTTTACCACACTATCATTATCTTTAATTGCAAATAAACTTTCAGTTGATTTTTTTATGTAAGTGAAAGGCACTGTTGAATATACCGGTAGTTGAATAAAGATGCCATGTGATCACGCCATATTGCTCATATGAAGAATTAAATATAACAGTTTGTCATGATGTGAATTTCAATTCAGTTCTAATGTTATCTTGTGTTGAGTGATTACAGTAATAAGCACTTTATCATTTTTTACCTCATAAAAACGTTAAACATGCATTGGAGCAAAGAGATTAAGGGGGCACAGCATACTGTAGAGAACCTATGCTTTTGATAATTGCACATTGTGAGATAAACTTGAAAAGCTAATCTCAGAAATGCACTCCCACCTTTTCATAATGAGACAGTACATGCTGATCTTAACTCTTCAGATGTGTGTGGGCTGCTTTCTGGTCCATTGCTTGAGATGAAACCACACGTTAATAAGTATAAAATATGAACTGCAACAAACAATCTTTAAAATCCTGATGCAATTTTTCAGAAAAGTAAAAAGGAAGAGGTATAATTCATCTCTCAGTGGTGAGGCTTATTATACTTTCCTACCGTACATATTTGGTTTTAAAACATAAAACCAAATTTGTACAGCAGTGGTTAAAGGTTAATCAAGTATTCCCTCTATTTTCCATGATGATATAAGTTCCTTTGATACAAACAAGTTCAGACTACTTATGATATTCATGCAAAAGAGTCATATACTTAACCTCAACACTTTTGTGTTTCAGTTTCTACGATTTTTCGTTCAAATTATTATTATTTCAAAAGCAGAGATAATTCAGAAACCCCTTGGTACTGTTGGTTCACACTTCAACTCCTACAAGCTGACCTTTTTTCATGCATTGTTGATTTAGTTTACAAGTAGAAGTTGTTACTATAAACTCCATTTAAAACGGGTTTAACCTCAGTACCTTTAATCTCCCCTTTCCCAAACTGTTGCAAACATAAAATCACTGCTCCACTACAGAATTAAAGTACAATAAGATTGTCTGAACAGGCCTTTCCTGCTGCCTTTGTTTCATCACACTATCCCTCTTCTGTTATCAGCAAAGGAAATTACAGCATTGGGCCCAATCCACTTGGGACTTAGATATGAGGCTCCAGTGATAATTAAATAAATGTAGCTAATCCTAATTACTCTTGTGGAGAATGCTGTCACAAGAAAGGAAAGAAGAGGAGAAAACCACACTGAAAGTCTGCTGGTACAAAAACACAGAGAGAAATAAAGTGTTTTTTGTTACAAAGTGGTAAGAAGCACGTTTTGCAAAAAGAAAAATACTAATGTTCCACCACAGGTGAATAGTTTACCAGCCAACACTGAATTTACTGTCAGATCTTTATTTCCAGTCTCTTTAATCTTTTCAGATATATCGGTGAGTCTGCTGTCACTGGTGGTGACTGCCTGTGGCTTGGCCCTTTTTGGGGTCTCTCTGTTTGTCTCCTGGAAGCTCTGCTGGATACCATGGAGGGAGCGTGTGCTCTCTCCCACCACCAAGGAGGCCCATGGGCACATCAACCCCACCATGAGCCCAATACCCTCCCAGCTCGCTCCAAGGCATCCAGTTTACTCTGCTGTGGACCCCCCTCCACACAACCGCCGTGAGTCGTCTATCTGCCCCATCGTCAGAGAGCCTACTCCTGTGGCGTCAGTGGTATCAGTGGAGGCTCCAGTGACTCCCGTATCCCCACCACCTGTGGTCATTGCCACACCAGAGGCAGCTATGAAGATCAGTCACACATCTCCAGACATCCCACTGGACGCCGAGAATAAAAGCCGGCAAAATGGGGTTCACACCAACCCTCGTATGCAGAGACAGATAACTGAACCCCCGCCCACTGGTCCCCTCATGTCTGAAATTGGGTCAGTATAGCTCTTACATTCATTTAGGTTTGAACTGATCATTGCTTATGGCTCTCAACACCATTGCCAGACAAAAAGAAATCAACATTGGGACAATTTCAAAAATACAATATTGGCGGTTAAGGTAAGGCCACTTAAACACTGAGTTTAGGTCAATTACAAAGCAGAGGTGAATTCCAGGCCTTTGGCAGAATGTAAACCCTGGCTTCCAGCATTAAAGCTAGTTACACTTCACACAGCTTTCTCCAATTTTACATCAAGAGCACACAACTTCCTGTATTTGCATGCAACATTAGCACTGATTGGAAATTGTGAGGTGCAGAAACATCCAGTACTGACGTAAATGCCTTCATGCCTTTTCTGTTACAGTCCATTGGAGTTTTATGGTGATGTTTATTGTTTTCATCTGCCCACAGACAAGGGACCATTCGCCGGCATATGAACCTATCCAACCCAGACTTCAATGTGGCCCAGTTCCAAAGGCAGGACTCCATCACTGGAATGGGGCTGGGCCTCGGTCGCCTCAAACCTGAGCTCTACAAACAGCGCTCCCTGGAAGGAGACGAAGGCAGTCGCAGAGGCGGGGGCTGTGGACGCCTCTGCTTTATCCTCAAATTTGACTGCGACCTGGAACAGTTAATAGTTAAGATCCACAAAGCAGAGGACCTCCCAGCCAAGGACTTCTCTGGAACCTCTGACCCTTACGTTAAGATCTACCTGCTCCCCGACCGTCAGACCAAGCACCAGACCAAGGTTCACCGCAAGACCCTCAACCCCGTGTTTGATGAGGTCTTCCTGTTCCCCGTGGAATACTCTGAGCTTCCTGAACGTAAGCTGCACTTCAGTGTCTATGATTTCGACCGTTTTTCACGCCATGACATTATTGGCCAAGTGGTCGTGGACAACTTCCTGGATCTGGAAGATTTTCCCAGGGAGACGAAACTCTGTCGGGAGATCCAGTACGTCTCAACGGTGAGTCAGCACTTACAATCAAAATGATGTCATGCTCAATTAGATATACCATGTTATATTTCACTTATTATTATTACGCAAAAGGTAAGAGATGTTTTAAGAAGTCTGACAGATGTTGCAATTTTTATAAAGAGCTACATATTGAGCTCACATTTTCGCGAGCACAGTGCATCTCAGACTGACAGTATATCAAATAAAAGTAATATCAAATAAAGTTGAATGCCTATTTAAACACACTGAACTGAATAAATCAGAGAATAAGGAGTTGGTAGACAACATCAATATGCCTCACTTTAAAGAAGAGCACTTCTTTTTTCACCCTGCTGGTGAGAGTCTTGTTGCAGTGAGTAAAGCCTGCTCAATCTGTTCAATACCAACGAAAAGTTCCAAATGCAGTTTTTTAAGACCAGCCACTCCAAACAATACATCTCAAGCATCTGTGTTGATATATCATCACTTTTATACATTTGATTTATCTACAAAATGTACATCAAATTGTGGGAAGCAGTGATTCAAAAATAATGAAACTTTACAGTAACAGGTATTTGAGTTTTTTTAGAATCATATTGTACCTGCTATTTTTACTGTACAAATGACAGCCAGTTGATACAGTGGGGTGTGTGTGTGTGTGTGTGTGTGTGTGTGTGTGTGTGTGTGTGTGTGTGTGTGTGTGTGTGTTAGGGAAGCAGATTGTACACAAAATATATCCTATCGTTTCAATATTGAGTGTGTGTGTCTAAAAGATATTTTAAACAAGATTTTAACTTTATGATTTTGACAGTTTCCTGTTTTTGATGCCTTGTACAGCTGGAATTTATCTGACAAATCTATCAAGTAATTGACAATATGTGTTGATATTTATGGGTATATACTTCCAGTGATTGCTTTATTGACAGGCATCTCAGTGTGGGAGCTTATCCAGATTGCAATTGATCCCTTTCTTCATGGCATGCTTAAGTGGCATTTATAAGACTGAAGCCATTGATTCATGCAGACAATTCATTTCATCCTAAGGTCAGTGCAGCAGGATCAATGAGGTGCAGGTGATGTGGTGGGTTACATTTGCTTTGCTCTGTCCCTTGGTGAAATCTGTTTGGATAAGATTACTTTCCAAAGTAATTGCTCAGATCGCAGTTGAAACATGGTGGCTACGCTTAAAGCAGACCCACCAGGGGAACACACACAGTAGTTTAGTTTGTTAAATGTAATGAATATTTGGATCAATATTCATCATTTAATGTTTGTATCATAAATCCCCTTTGTTTTCTCTTTCTTTATTTTACTAACATTTGGATTCCTTTACAACCTGTCTGACCGATCTGGCTCTTTGCACTGTTGGATCTATTTTTAGAAATGTTAAAGCGTTTCGAAAGATATTTTGTGGGTATAAGGCTAATATAACATACAGTATATAACCACTATTCTAGGCCTAGAAAAGACAACCCATATTATGATATACTAAGTAAGTCATCACTTTTTATCATTATTATTATTAATATTGCTTAAATGTAATGTAAGCTACTTGCCAATTCAGCAAACACTGAGTCAGTTGGACAGTATATCACGCAGCATGGAGTATATGACTGACAAGCTGTGTGTATCTGTCTCTTGTGTATCTCATAAGCAAAGCATCCTATAGTTCTGCAGCTATCAAAGTTTGTTTCCTGCTGCTCTGTCTCTCGCTGTGTATGCAAATGAACGGTCTGCACTGCAGCCATTTCAGTGTAATAAGCTTTATACTGCAGTACCTGGATGTGTGTGCCGTACTGGTCCTCCTGTCAATCATGGCTAAATATAGCCTCCATAGTAAAGGGATGTGTGCAGCTTAGCTTGGAAAAGAAACCTGTTAAAACACTGAAACTTGTTAACAGGTTTCTCTTCTTTGTTCTCTCACGTAATCTCTGAAGTGTAGAAGAGAACATTTTTTTAAATGTTCAATCTCATTTTTATAGATAAATAATAAAAAATGTTGAGTAGGAACCTGCCAGATGATTAAATATTTGCTTACAAGAGCAGAAATAATGTCAGGGTGCGCCAGGGGCTCACCTGATAGAGCATGTTACCATAAACTAAGGATTTACTGCAGGCTTTACTGCTGCTAACCATGAATACACCAGAATAACTCATCCCTGGAAATATACTTGACTACACATTACCCTTATTTTGGGCCATTAAGAAAGACAAGCAAACCTGCAGCAATACTTAAAAGACTGTATGGCAATCTTTTGTTTCAAAATGAAGGCATTGGTATTTATGATAATCATACAATCTTCACTTGACCACACTGACAGCACTCATATGTAATTGTAGGCCGCCCTTTAAACAATTTAAGCCACATACGGCTTTATCAAAACATATGGCATCCACAAAGTCAGCAGCTGTGTCCCACTTTCATGAATCAAACAACTCTAACTGGGTTTTGAGTTCGTAAAAGTGACAAAAATAAGTTGTAAAACATAAATAGTAGATTGAAACTGTATTCCCTTATTAAAGATATATGGCATGATGCTGATGGACATTATGGAGTCACATTACAGTAAACATAGAAAAGGGAAGAGGTTCTAACTCTAAAGAGTTTAGAAGGACCTGCATAAAGATCCTGGGGAAAAAAACATTTTAAAAAGGGTTCAACATTTTATTTTCTGGTTACAGTAAATTGAATCAGCTGAAATTATGTTGTAGTTTGAGTCAGCTCAATGAGCCCTATAAGTTCACAACGGAAAGTACCCTAACATACTTCAGCTTGGCGGATTCATAGCCACATAAAGGGTCATGCAGAAGTGTTTGAATATTTCATCAGCCTCAGCACTGTAGTTGCAAAAGGTAAAGAGCCCTCTCCAATCTATTTAACCCCAAGCAAAATAGAGAAACAACAGTCCCCTTACGTAAGGAGGGTGATGCCCGCTATCTCATGTCTGCATGCGGGGAAGTCAGAATCTTGAACCATGCTCTGTCAGGAACAAGGGGAATGGCTCACACAGAGAAATGGACACCTAGGCTGAACAAATGGCATGGAGTTATTTGTTCTGTCAGTGTGTTTGATATAAACCTGAGGGGAGTATTTATATTGACAAAGATATTGATATTTGTTGTGTACAGTCTCGACCTCTGGGCATGTTATAGTGCCGTGCTGGCCCTTCTGCCCTTTATTATTGATTTTTAATCAATGTTACACGGTTGGAATATAATGGTATGTGACAGGTGGTGATGGGGACCAGAGATTCACAGTATTATCTGGAGCGCTTCATTCTCACACTGTTCAGGGTTTTTATCAGTTCCGCACTACTCGGCTCATGCACACATACGCACGCATGCACGCACGCGCACACACACACACACACACACACACACACACACACACACACACACACACACACACACACACACACACACACACACACACACACACACACACACACACACACACACACACACACACACACACACACACACACACACACACACACACACACACACACACACACACACACACACATCCTCATAACCAGGCTTTGCTAATCATCTTTGGACAGCAGTACAGAAGTAGGACATTTCGCATTCATTGCAGGGACAATTTGTCACACTCAGAGAGAGATGAATTGACTTTATTGATAGGAATGATATAATTATTATATCAGTATTGCCCATATATTGAGATTGACCATATGGTTCTTTTCATTGCCAGACTCGGCTTGTTTGGAAACAGCTTGATGGAAAACGTGTTTTGCTTTAAAAAAGGACAATGCCAACATAAACAAAAGCTTAACAATGTATTACTATTTAATGTGGCTTATTTCTGGTTTCTTTAGTTTTAATTATCATTTTGGCTTTGAATGTGGTATGACAAATATAATTGCGGCATTGCCAAATTGTAAAATGAGGGATATAGCCTGATTATCAGGGACTTGCAGTGTCTTAAAAGCTGTGTGTTGCCTAAGAGGGATTCTGGAGCTCATAGAACGCCTAATCTCTCTTCCCACCTGTATCTCAATGTGCACAAAGAACGTGGACCATGAAGCGTGTAAAGCCCACAGCATCCTTCTGGGATGTGCAATGTATTTTCTGAAGGCAGTTAACACATCATGCAAATTAAAATGCATGCTATTGAGGTCTCAGGATGGAGCTTTTAAACAATTTAACTTTCTCCCCTACTGTATCTCCCGTTCTCCCCCACTTTCCTCCTTCTAACCCTCATAGTGTATATTCACTCACACACACAGTAAGATAATACAGATAAAACAGGGACCATATCACAGGAGAGACATGTATGCGTAGCTATGCTGACATACAGTATCGTTGAAAGGACTGATTTCCATTCTAAAAAAAACTCTGAGAAAAAAGTTTAAGAAAAAATAAGAGGACATTGACTTTTTTTTTTCCTGACCTACTTTCATAACGTAATGACAATTTAATCAAACTTCAAGCTCTTGCACTATTGCAGTGTATCTTATACTGTGCAAAGGGTATTATTTGTTTAAAAAAAAAAAAAAAAAATGTAGTAGTACACCAATTTTGATGAATCACTATTTTCATGATTGTTTTTTGCATAATCACCAAAGATCAATAACCCCAATCATGTCTAAGTGTGTGAGACACTTCACTAACACAAATGAAATGCCATAAGCCATTAATATCCATCAAACCTATCTCTTGTAACAATTTCGGGCGTTAATCTACCGATATATTTCATAAATCTGTCACCAGGGAGAAGCTGCAAGCAGCAGTGTGATGCCACAGATTGTTACTTTGCATGTTTCAAGTTAATAGACTAATTCAAGTCAATAACCTTCCATTTCTAGAATGATTACACTGAAATTAATTATCAGATGACACCTGATATATAATACCAACCCAATATTCCCCTAAAATCTGTAGATCCGCATGAGATTCAACCGTAGGAGTTGTCTTCAGCAGACACGTTTGTGTGCTTTCCTGGTTCTCACTTCTTTGGTAGAGTTATTTTAAGAGCAAGTGATAAGTGAGCTTCTGCCTTTCTGCAGCTCAGCAGAAGTCTCCATGTCGGGTGAAAAGTGGGTGGCTATTATTTGAACAATGTGAGGAGAGCATAGAGAGATCCAATCTGTCCCCAAACATCAGATGACTATACCATTATTCTTCACCTTCGGCTAATGGCGAAGAGCAAGGAATTAGAAAAAAAAACGACAATAATATAATTTAAAGAGCGACTGTCTAATTGCTTTTATATTGATAAAACCAATAGAATCAGTATCAAAAATGAAGCTCATGGTAGAGTAAATGTGTTGTGTGTTGTCTTTCAGGATAATGTGGACCTCGGGGATCTGATGTTTTCGCTCTGTTACTTGCCCACGGCGGGGAGATTGACCATTACCATGATAAAGGCTCGCAATCTGAAAGCCATGGATATCACTGGTGCATCTGGTAATTAAAATATGATCATTTCTACTGATTCTCACTGATTCTCACTGTTATCCTGCAAAAAAACAAATGTCTTCCCTATCTGTTTCTCTCACTTTCTAGATCCATACGTGAAGGTTTCCCTAATGTGTGAAGGTCGCAGACTGAAGAAGAGGAAGACTTCGACAAAGAGGAACACTTTGAATCCAGTCTATAATGAGGCCATTGTCTTCGATGTCCCTCCAGAAAATATAGAGCAGATCAGCCTTTCGATTGCAGTCATGGACTATGACCGGTAAGTACTCATTATGAGGCTTTTTACAAGTCATATATGTCGTTTGTTTTTTTGAAACACATGGTAACTCGTGATCGCATGTTTTTCCTGTCTTTCCCTCCTGCACCTACAGTGTTGGCCATAATGAGGTCATTGGGATTTGTCGAGTTGGCAACGATGCAGACAACCTCGGTCGAGCCCACTGGAGCGAAATGCTCACATGTCCCCGAAAACCAGTCGCCCACTGGCACCCCATTGTTGAGGTGAGGAAACCTTACAGTCAAGGCTGTGTTTTCATGCATACACAGGGACTCATCTTTGCTCTTGCTGATTATAATGTGCTACTTAGACTGTCAAAAATGCTCTTACGTATAGATATTAGACCTCAGGCAGGAACATGCTGTTACCAAATAATATATTTAGATATTTGGTAGGAGGTTATAATATAATACCAACAGACCCTCTGACCTGTGTCTAAGTGTGGTCAAGTCAAATTCAATTATTGCAGGTTTTGTTTAAAAAAAGAAAGTGTGTGCAAAATGTAGATTTTCCAAGAGACAATAGTAGTAGTAGTATGGGAATTCAGCAGAAGAAGCTAAACTGAATATTTGAAAATCACATGTGTTGCCAGCACGTTTGGAACATTTCATGGTAGTGAAGTGAGGGAAAAAGAAGATACTAAAGGCAAATAAGTACAACTGACATTTATAAAACAAAGTCTAATATAAAAATAAATAAGTATGAGCAACACAACATATTTTACATCAAGGCTGATATGAAAAACTGCAGAAAGTGTAAATGAATAAGTGATTAGGCTTTTCACTGCCCAGTCATTAGGCGCAATGGACTCATTAGTATTCACTGATAAAGAAGTGTGTTGTTAGAATGAGGCTGTGAAAAGATTTTTGGTCAGCGGTAATAGGAATATGGCTGCAAGCTACTGAACATCGAAATAAATTAAAAAAGGAAAGAAAATCCGCCTTTTATGAAGCCATTGTATTATTCAGCAGTTGATAAAGTAGGCTGAAAACCCAGAAACATTATATACATCATTTAATAATCATCAGTGAATAGAAATGGGCAGGGTCCAAAACATCCACAGTGTGTTGACTGGTGTATTTTTGTATCTGATCTCAAAATTATATTATATAAGTCACCACATGCAGCCACAGAACATAGTGTTAAACTGGGTATTTCGTTTAAAAAAGAACATTTTTAAGCCAACAAATAAACTTGTAATGTACTGTTTCTCTAGACATATCCCTAGTCTTTGAGTTATTTAGACACAACAGATACATGTCTGATGTGATTCAGCCACAGGCATATCCTGTAGGGTTTCCCAACATCATCCTTTAAGCCTGCTGTTCGGCAGTTCATGTTTTGATATGTGGCAAGTAATGCCAACTTAAATATGTAATGAAATTTGCAAAGAAAAATAGATGAATCAGAGAGCCTGGAGTGACAATAAAACTGATTTTATGAAAGAGTAGATATAGTATAGTATCTAGGATGGTTTCCTTGAACTGTGCACTCAACCTGGAGAAATGGCTTTATTGTTTGCACATCAAAGGCTCTGTGTCGTGCAAATTACAAAGAGAGCCAGAGAAAACAGGAAATTGAGCTTGTAATGTTTCTTTTTGGGCTATTAGAGTATGTACTTTGAAATCTTTATTAGGGCCTTTGGAAAGCCCACGTATTATTATCCAAGTCAAAAGTCAAAGCTGTTAAATCTTCAAAAGCTCCCTCATCCTCACTTCACTTCCGAAACTGTAAAGCACTGCAGTCTTACATGCCGATAGCTTTCAAATCCTATTTAGATATTTCTTTGCAAAGTGAGCCGCTTTTATCTTTTTTTGCAAATACATCAGTGACAATATCATAGTCTATTTAAAAAACAAGGGAATACATCAATAAATATGAAACTAAATAGGAGACTTTGTTTGTTTTACTGCCCAATTCCTAACATAGTAGGTGGTTAGTACATTTGTTTGGAGATTCCATGATGAAGAATTTGGCTCTGGCTGATATGACTGTGCATCTGCTTTATGAGATTGTGTTTTTTACCCATGCATCGCAACACTCTAACATTGTTTGTGCTTGATTCTTCTTCGCAGTACCAGGGGACCACAGGTAGCCAGGGAGGATCCTGTAATTCTCTTAAGACACCTCCCTCTCTGTAGCCTTGAGCAACACTGAAGCAACACTTCACACAAGAGCACCAATTAACCCGAAGCCTCGTCTGTATACGTTGGGACAGGAGTGCCGCAGAGTGCTGCACACATATAGTCCTAAAAGAAGAATGCAGACATTGATAAGCTCCTGTGGAAAAGAGAGACACAAACTGTCTTGAGCTCTGCTCAGTTGGACCAGTTGCATGTTGAATGACCGCACAGATGGATGTTTTTTTATTTATCTATAATGTTCCATAAGAGAAAAAACAGGCATGTACAGACATTTTAGGTCTGTGCTATTTCTGGGTTTATACAGTAGTTACTGTTTTTTACATGGTCGTGTTACTTGTTTTAATGAGGTGAGTCTTGCACAATGTACTTACAACCAGTTGAACTGCCATATAGTTTTATTAATTCGGTGGTGAATTGGTGCATGAGGTCATGGTTTGGTGGGATATCTTCTCCTCGTTTGTTTGTTTCTGTTTCTATTTTTGGGAATACGATGTGATGTTCTGTCGGTTGATGTGCAGTGATGGTTGATTTCTAGACAAAGTATCTGTAAGGAAAATATGTTAAATGTTATCAATAAATATTATTCCATTACAAAAAAAACATTGTTGATCTCTGCCAGTTCAGTTTTTATGAAATTAAAACACTGTAGACCGACATGGTGAAGAACTAGAAAATCTGTAAGACAATAAAATATGAAAATGTAAATCTGACAAGAGTTTGATTTATATTGTAAAAGCTGTTATTTATTTTGTAACATGTCAACTCTATAACTGTTGAAAATTAAAATGATCATAAGTGCAATCCATCAAAATACAGCCAAGTGGATTTCTTGAATGGACAAGAAAGAGTGTGTGAGCAGATTATGATGCCTGTCGACACAGCATGGAAATACCTTATCACAGTCCACATTGGCAACAGTTTCCTTTGTATAAAGAGTTAAATGAACCCTTAGAAACAAATGAGTTGGTACAGCATGTGGCTCTTTTTTGCAAATAATTTGATGTAGGTTTGATATTATCTTTCTGCCTCCAGTGGTGCGTCTGAATGAGAAGGACATTTCTGAAGTAGATACCCCTGATAGTACTCTTTTCTCTTCAACACTACACTTATTATAGATTATTACATGCGTAGACTATATCCTTCAGGCCATACATTGTAATGTATGCTGTTTGATGGTTGCTTTTAACTCAAAAGAGCACAATACTTAGAACAATTGTATTTTCAAAACAACCAGAAGGAAGAGACTTTAAAATACTGCAAATCATTTGCCATTTTCATTGCCCTTTCATCAAAATCCATGTATTAATAGCCTTATATAAACAAATATGCTCTTTGCTTTGAAAGTGTGGAAGACACATTGTAAGATAAGATAAGAAAACGTGGTCAATTACATTTCATGAAATTGAAAGTGGTTCTTTTTACTGCATTCTAGTAAAGAATAATACATAAAATACAATAAGGGGTAGATACATAAAATCACGTTTTCAACAGTGACAGTGCTGAACAGTGGACTATGATTGTGTGACAGGGGGATACAAGTAGTTATTTTAATATGTCTATCTTTAGGGTGTCCACAGCAGAGGAAACTAACTACTTTTTGTAGCCACTTTTCCCGACCATTGTAACCTTGTGTCTCCAGGCAGATGGCCTGAGTGATGAGTGAAGGGACAGGGAGCTCTTATTTTAGATGAAGGGAGCCTTTTTAGTTCTTGCCAAGTCGTATAGGTTTTGGAATTGCAAATGTCTAATGACGTCGCTTGCCTGGTTAACTACCTAGGTCAGCTTGTTTCTGTGACAAACTGAGCATTTCACATACCAGGAGACGATGATATGAGGGGGAACACTGTCAGCGAGGCCCTGTAACAAAAATAATGAGATGAATGTTAACCAGTTCCTGTCAGAATCTATATTCCATTTTTTGTTTATTGCTGCTGTGATGGTATGGCTGGATGGTAAGTAGAAATGAGAATTTATTTTACGTATTTAAATCCAAAATTAATTAATGTATTATATATCATGTATAAGTTAAGATAGAAGATAGATAGAAACGGAGGATGAAACCCTCTTTATTTTTGTCACACACATGTACATGCACACAGCACAGCACACACAGTGAAATTGGACCTCTGCATTTAACCCATCCTAGTGCTAGGAGCAGGGGTAGGAAGGGACAGGATGTGCCAACAACAACAACAACAATGTGCCATGTTTTTATAACACCAGTACTTGATGTCAATATGTATAATGTTGCAAAATAAACTGAAGCTGTTGAATCCAATTATGCCTTGTAATTAATGGATATTAAATTCACGTGCGAGCCAATTTCATCACATGCTTCATCTTTATAATCTACTGTATCTATGCATGATCATAATTTACCATATCATGTAACTACTTTCATATCCTTCTAACATTTGATAGGATTGCTTTGAGCCACATGAAAGAAACTCTATTCAGATAAATGATTTGCTACGGATTACCTATCTAGCTCTGAGTGTAGTAATTGAAGCTTTAATGTATTCTGTTGTAATACATACTCATAAGAACAGGAAAAACTTGTTTTCGTATAACATGAATGTGGATACTAAAACGATGAATTTATTAAATACATTGAAAACTTAGCAGGTCATTTTACTTTGAATAAACGTTCTTCGCTTTTGAATATCACTGTTCCATGGCTTTATCATCCTGGGAAATTAAGTATTCAACTATTAACTTTCAGCACTACAAACATTGCATCAAGTAATCACTACCTCAGCCCTCTTCAACCTTACAAGAAGAAGATGCAATGCCTTTTCCTGGTGAATCTAACTGACCATTGCGCTTTTCCATCTGTCACTAGATGTGTTATCTTAAAGGTTGTTTCCCTGAAGGCTGCTATCTATGGATGGTTTGATGTTGTGGGGCTTCACATGAATAATGCATTCTCCTTAGATTGAGTGTCAAGGGTCTCCCATATTGCCTTTACGACAACTAGCCTTCAGTTGCGTGCCATCTGGTTAATGACTATGACCTTGTCCCTGATTATACCTCACCATGTGTGAGCATCATGATGGAATATCATCAAAAAGAGAGAAAAAGACAGGGTGGGTGTGCGTTTTCATTGCAGAGACAGAGATGTGTGGGTTGCTTGTTAAGGTCTTGGTAGTGGGTGCTCTGTATGACACATTTCTAGTAGGCTGTACAACTGAGATCTAGCAAGGTAGACAGTAACAAGGAAGGGTAGAGGCGCTGTTTCCAAGAATCATTCCACTTGGTGGTATAATTATATGTCTGGCATTTACTCTACAGCACATAGGTACACATTCTGACATTTTAGATATGGCTTCTTACAGGCAACACCATTAGCACATGTCAAATATGAATTTAATTAGTGTGGTTGTATTCACTCAGATTCTACATTTTTAACACCCATATTTGTTGGGGAACCTCTTACTCTGTACTGGAATGATTATACATAACTATATGAAGCATCTTACCAGGCTGAGCAATATAATTTACACATATCTTTTGCACCAAATATCCACAAGTTACATGTTTACTTACCAGTAAATTATGATGAGCCCAATCAACCCTATGGGCATATGCAATATCACTCCTCATCCACTAAATCAGATGTCACTAGTGGACTGGAGGAATAGCTTTTTCACAAGGAAATAGAAATGTGTAGCTATAAGATAGCAGCATTATTCTTCTTATCTGACTCTGGGTGGGGTAACACACAGCAATATTTGCTGTGCTCTGCATCAAACGGCTTATCTTGTGTTTACCACGAGGCAACAGGTCAGTTCAGGTCAGGTTTGAAACAACAACATTTGGTCCTGTTATGCACAGAATATGTCTTGGCAAGATACTGTAACGTTCTGCATACTTCATTAGGGTAAGGGGAAACCAGATCCCGGCCAATACAAAGTCCAGCACATGAACCACATAACACCAGTGTGCCTCTTTAATATACTGATTTATGGTCCTGGTAGGTGAACATTTGGATACAGCCCGGCTAGCTGCTTCCTTCTTGAATTTCATAATCTAATTTGACCATCAGCTAGCTGTACATTTTGTACAGATAAGAGTGATATTAATCCCATCAAGAAAAACAAATAACCCCTCAGCATATCATCTGGTTGCCCGTCCTACTTTCCTTTTATCCATATTTGTGCAAAAGGCTTTAAGTTGGAGAATATTTGTGCCAGCTTTTATGGCTTGTGCCTCTAGTAAGGCTGGTGATGTTAATATTGGATCCACACTGTTAATGCAACTGGGATTGCTTCTGTTAATCCTATGCATTTCAGTATACAACAATCAAGGGAACACATGAATAAAATATGAGGAAAAACAAAGATATTAATGAATTTAATTGCCTTCTTGATTAAATTATGCAGAATTCCAAGAGGAAAGCTGGTGTCTCAAGTATCAACCTTTTTTGATTAATGTGTAATAGATAGGAGATACATCAAAATGAGATGTGGAGAGTTTTAGGTCAACTTTCAATAATGTGATTAACTATTAATTGCCAATTACATCTGTTATAGATACAACAGTATAGCAATTAAGGCGGCCTGACGGCCTCTTTTTATTTCTCTCTTACATTATGATTAGCTTTGAGCGTCTTGTTATTCTCTACTATAGTGTTTAACATGTCATGTGTGTTTTGGTCCACTGTTCTAATTATGTGGCTGTCTAAAAACACTTGCATTGTGAAATGGAGACTCACGGATATTTACAATATTTAAAGTGGTTTAATTGGTATACACAATACAATGACAACACTGTAAGTATCCATATCTCAGAGGACATACTCTTCCTTTATGCAGCTGGCTTAAAAAGGTCAAATACATATTTTATCTTGTAAATGTTACACATACGGGTTATCATCCACCTGATCTATGGACCCCGAGCTACGTATTCCAGTATAAAATGTCATGCTCCTTCAAAGATGTTTTTCATACAGCAGTGTTAGAACTATTTCACTTCAGTAAAGTATTTTGTTGCACTGTATTCAATTGCTGACTTGGTTTATTATCTGGTTTGCTTTCCTTTCACATGTGGTCTATAAGGCCATTTGTGATTGACTGTTGGAAGCTGCAGTAAACTATAGTACTCAAATTTCCTCTTGATTGTGTTAAGAAAATATGCAGTGGACTGGACCAAAGGAAAACATTGAACTTATTTCCTGTACCTCAGTCATCAATAGATGGAACCTTTATGCAACACTGTTTTTATCAAATGTTCTGTGATATATAATCCTTTTACTTACAACTTTAATCAGGACTGCATCAATGCTAAGTAATTGGATCAAAGTGATTCAGATGAAACGAGGGAACAGACAGAGATTAAAGGAGAAAAAGTTAAAAGAAAAAGGAATGAAGGGACTGAATGTCTTCCCTCAGTAAGGGTTGTCTCTTCCATTTGCTAGTGTCTTGCAGTGAATATGGTGTTGTGCGATAAGTGTGATGGTCCATAATTGCTCCCATCAGACAGGACAGAATCAGACCAGAGCAATCAATAAACTGTGGCAATGTGGCCAACTTAAAGCTAATCGATTCTCCTCTTTGTGGAAAAAACATTAGCCTCAACATACTTGTGAAATCAAGGTCTCCCAGTTGGTCAGTGTTTTTTTTTGTAATGATGCTAGTGTCACAACACTAAGAGAGGACTGTTGAGATAACAGTATTTATTTGTATTAACGTGATAACGTATACATGTTATCAAATCCAACCATGGGCCTAAAGTGGCTCTTACAGATGAATGCTTGTAATTGGATTTCACTTATTTTCTTTTGCCTTATGGGAGGATTTGACTCACTTCTAG